GAGCGGGATCCAGCAAAGGTTGTAATTACAACTATCCGTAATAGGCTGGGAGGTCACCGAAGAGGGCGAAGCCACCTGGTGAGCTGTTCCATAATGTAGGATCACAACATCATTAATAGAAAGTTTGCCTGATTGACGGGCGAAAGTTACGCCTGGTTGACGCCTTTCGCAATCCAGCACGCCTTTACAGTTTTCAAAAATAAATACCACTGCGCGAAAACACTTGAAGCGTGTTGGAATGACGCCAGGGATCCACCTGTTATAAGGAAGGAAGAGTGTGTGGTCATAACTCGTGACCTCGCACCCTTCCTCAATATCAACGATTTTTAAATACAGGGATTTCAGAAAGGAAATAGGCCTGCTGGTTTGAGAACTGTCTTGAGTATATCTGCCCTTATGCGAGGATCGATCCTGGCAGGGATAGCCGAGTTTTTAGGGATGACAGTACCCGTCTGCACCCAGGAAAGAAATGAACTCGATCTCTCACGAGGCGGGAGGAAGAAACATTCGAAAAATTGCAAAAAATGGTGTAGATACAAACTTCTGGTCCAGGCCGAACCCTCGTTAAATCAGAAATGTTTGAAGTCGCCGAAAAATCCTGCTATAAATTTAGGACGTCAACCGGGAACGACGGGAACCCCCTTTTGAGTGGGCAGTACACGGGATCTAGACGGAATAAACGACCTCGGCCAAGGAATTTACTTCGAATTGGGACTAGAACGTTGGGCCACTAACTGGAAAGTCCCGAGAAATTGCTGACCTATTGAAGGGCAGGAACATTTAGGTCCTATGTCTTCAGGAGACCACTGAAGAGGAACAAGGTCTAGGGGACTCGGGAAAGGATCCAAGTTCTTCTCCAATCGAAAAGACTCCAGAGCAAATGGCGTGGGCCATTGCAAAGGCGGAGTCTTTTGAGGATTCATTTTCCGCTGTCGGCAGAATAAGCAGTGCAATAATGTATGTGAAGATAGACATGAAAGAGGGGTAGTATCCGTATACGTACCAAAGAGCGGCTCCCCTAGAAAGGATGAATATGAGCTTCGTTTAAACTTTGCCATCAGATCTATTTCAGAAGGGGACCAACTCGTCATAGCAGGTGATCTGATTGTCCATGTCGGCAGTGAAAGGAGGGACCCGCTTACATCTACGATGGTAGAGGAACCAGAAACGAGGAAGGGGAGAGTACCATTGACTGGGCTGCTGCCCATGACCTCGCAGACTGCAGTAGTTTTTACAAAAGGAAGACCAAGAAGATAACCTACTGCGGTGAGAGAGACAATCGGAAAGGGACCAAAAGGTAAATGATAGCAGGGTCGTGTAGGAGGAGAATCAGTTCCGCATCATAGCCTTCTTCTAGCAAATATAGCCATCGAGCTCATCCAGGAAACGAAGGAGACAAAGGAGCAAAGAGTTCGATTGTGGAAGCTGCGCATTGCGGAAAGGGAAAATTGAAGTTGAAGAGTTTTGGAGGCAAGCATTCCAAATTATGAAGGAGCGATCAGCAAACCTGGAGCAACATTGTGAAGATCATACTACAGCGTGTGAGGGAAACACAAGGAAAGATCTGAGGTAGACTTCAAGAGAGCGGTTGAGCGTGGTTCATGAGCGATCCGGCGAGTGGCGGAATAGAACAATGGCGCGCACAAGCGCTGGCTAAAAACGAGATTTCTAAAAGACCTAGCCGTCTAATGGTAAGAACCTGCAAGAGGCTCGCTAAAGCTGCCATAGCAAAGACAAAAAACACAAAATGGACTTCCTGTACGAGAAATTGACAGTCAAGAAGGAAAAAAAGTTTGCCCTAAGGCTGGCCAAAGGCCGGCATTGCACCACACGAGACGTAAAACAGTAATTAGAGCAGTCAGAGCCGTGAGAGCAGAGATTTTGAAGGAATCGATTGTGTTAAAGGGATGGATACTCTGGCAGCCTTCTGAACGAAGGCCACTGAACAGCTTTTAACTGAAATTCAGCTGGTCCCACCAGAGTGTGGACAGAAAATGAGGTCCAGCGAGCAACAGGAAAAATGAAAATTAGGAAAGCGATTGGCACAGATGGGGTACCGATGGAGGCATGGAAGACGCAGAGAGTTAGGTGGCCAACCTTGCTCTCAAACAGTGTAACTGCTGTATGGAGAATTCCAAATGAGTGAAGGAGCAGAATCATCGTTCCCATTCTCAAACAGAAGGAGGATTAAGCCGTGTTCCAACTATCGCGGGATCAGGTTGATTGAGCACAATGAAGCTATCTGGCTATTCGACTTAAGACTGAAGAAACTGTCCCCAATCTCAGAAAAGCATTCATCTTCATACCCCAAAGGTCTGCAACGGGTGCCATTTGCATAATTAGACAAGTACCTGATACCCTGCATCCCTCGACCTGAAGCGAACCATCCCTCAACCTGCTTGCAATGAATGTCATCATAGGAGGATTTGTGGATGGACCACCGTGAACAAAACTCTTTACTGATGAAATAGCTGTGATATCGGAGAGTAGGATAGAACTCCTGGACGAGGTGCAAAATAGCGCAAAGTGCGTGTGGAGAGCAGGCTTCTGTTGAATGTGAACAAGACCACGAACTCTAGATCGAAGATTGTACGCAGTCAATCGCAGACAGTCCCGGTGGATCCATCGGAAGTGGCCAAGACTCCCGATATCTAGAAAAGTGACCAACCGGCTAATGGTAGCGTGGACCAGGCTGTGAGGGCCCAGTGAACGCGATGTGGATGAAGAGGGGCGCTTAAAGGAAATGTGTACTGGGCAGTAGTGAGGTCTATGATGTTTTACGCCCACGCTCACCCGTAGGTAAGAGTCATGTAAGACAATTTCACTTCACTAATTGATGATGCTCACCAGGGAAGGATCCCAAATCGAAGTGGCCATATGAAATGTGACCTACACTGCTGTTTTTGGATGCTGAGTTTAAATCTGCTTTCCAGATTTGCCAAGCGTTTGGTAGGCGCCCCAAAATCACATGAGTGAGTGCTTAAGTAGCTAGCGGCATACCATGAATAAAAAAGGAATTTCTCAAATCCAGCCGCACAGAACTGACAGTAGAGAAGCGATAGTAAGCGAAGAATGGGTCTAATGTGTACAGGCAAAAGTTGAGATTATGAGCTATTTCATATGAGGTAGTGCGTTTAAAGGCACCGTTCACGATAAAAAAGTTATTGAGTTCTTACCTTATTAATACTCAGCGGCCCCCATGGGTTGTAGAAGGGACCCTCTCACTCCCCCAATCTCGACGTCCAGGGCATAGAGGCAGCCCCGTTGTTGCCGTAGTTCGCGTTCCCGCCCCTCTATCGGTGTCACNTTAGACGGGTGTCGAGACAATACAGATTGCTATTATTCGTTCTAGGACCCACGCACAATCAGCTAATCGCCGAGTGATGAGGCGATGCTTTTCTCCCATTCCTTTTTCCCTCCGTTTTTCTTTTTGCTGCTGCGATCCCTTATTCAATTTCCTACTCCTAGAGGCTGAAAAAGGTGAGCTACTTTGCTGTTACTAGAGTTTTTTTGTTTATTTATGCTTATAAGTGAATGAATTTTTGCTCACGATTGTCTGTTATTCGCACCAGGACCCACACGCGCGCAGTGAAACACACTGTTTAGCTCGTCTGGGCATCCCACTCTTCTTCATTTTTCTAGTTTCATTCTCGCCGAGCCCCCTTTTTAACGGTTTTTCGAAGCCTTTTTTCACTTTAGAAACACCGATGCACGCAGTTTCTTCGCCTCATTCGCACTAGTTTCGATCTTGTCTTCCATTTTTCATCATAATCTGGTTACCCAAAATTATCGTGAACGGTGCCTTTAACCGTATTTGAAAGGAAATAAGAAACGAGCTTCTACCGACTGTATTAGCCTCCTGGTAGCCCCGAGCAGAGTGTCATTCCCTTCTTCTGCTTTTGTGGAGGTAAGGCGCACTGGATAGCATTCTGGTCTTCGAGTCCACTATCAACAGTGCCGGTGTTGGTGAGTCAGAAACTGCTACGCACCTTCGCACCAATCTAGCATCAACACCTACTCTGGCATCATCATTGTTCATTACAAGCATTTTGCTCGTCCGGACCTCCAAATTTTGCGCACAGAGGGATCTCCCACTCGTTAACATGTAGGCAGGTAGGAGCTGGTGTCAGCAAAGCATTAAAAGATTATGAAACGTGATAAAATCACCATGAGAGTATTTTCTAGTTCTTAAGGAAAAAATTCTACCGATGCAAAAATTCCGTCCCTCGCGAAACCCGAACATTAGCCTCTCACCCATGAAGCGCCACGCTTACCACTACACCGAGCCGCCGTTAAGAAACGATGCACATCCATGTAATTTAAGTTTTCTTATGTTAAGCTCCCTGAAGCCACCCTCATAACTCCTTTCAGAAAAACGCTTGGCAAATTTGGAAGGCAAATTTGAACTCGGCATACACAAACACGTTCAGCAGTGTAGGTCTCATTTCAAATGGCCTCTTCGACTTGCGGTTGGAGTTGGTTGGCGGGTCAGGAACGAGAGCACATCATGCAAACAGCCTCTGTGCAGCTGAAGATGAAGGGACCGTGTCTGCTATTCTAAGAGAGCACCTGTTGCGAAACTACCAAACCACTCGCTACTAAAGGCAATGGAGTTCGAAGCGGTATGGAATTTACTACATGGGGCCTTGAAGAAGAGACGGACGTAATCAAGGAAATTCTCTTCGAGAACAAGGTAACGCCAGAAGATGCCAGACAGAAAGAAGAGGGGGTAACTAAACAAGATTCATTTTGTTTTTGGCTGTAATGAAATGACGGAAGGGAGAGCCCATGCTAAATAAAGTTTGAAATCTGTGGAAAGATGAAGCTAGCATACACATAATTCATGTTCAGCACGGAGATACTATGATATTTTTCACCTTAGCCTTGAGATATGCATATCTAATCGTGAAAAAGCACTGGGCCGTAGAATTAGTGAAATTGCCTTATCTATTGTTATGTCACTATTCAATCCCTTTGCAGTAAGCCATATTCGACTTCATCTAAGATACAAGGGTGAAAACCAAGCACTTCTTAGGTTTGGAATGTTCGCAAGCTAGATAAATCTCATTGGCACTAGAGACGCTTATCAAAACTTAAAAAAGCAAAAACTCACGTCTGTTATAGCTCAGTGAAGGGTCTGATAGGATACGCACAATCTGGTCTTTTCGTAGACCAAGCATATTGATCGGGCTATTCGTGTAACCAACTTTTGCCCAGTAGTCCTGAAAAAAAGTCTTCAAAAAATTGTAAGGCAAACAATGTTGTGTAATATTCTAGGCTTTACACAATATAATTGGCCAGGTAGGTGAGAACAGGTAGCGAAAGATTGAAGCAACGTGCAGGTCTGAGATTTTGATTGAGAGTTGTTAAGGGGTTTTAAGATACAATATTTAGAGAGGTTCACTTATTATGGTTCCATTCCTGGATGTACTCTCAACATATTTCGCCTCAAACCAGAATAAAGTTTCGCCATGCTCTGGAAGACCGTTTTCAGGTGCCTCAGAGCGTATGAACGTCTTGAAGAGACTTTCTCACTTTTGACTCATCAGATGACATCGTTCTCGATCATTGTCCTCCCATGGGGTTTTCTTTCAAATCTTCTCGTGTTGACAAAACGGATTCACGACACGTAACGCATTGTGTTAGCAGAATGAGCCAGTCTTTCGCGTTGTTGCTTCTGAACTCGGAACAAGCGGGAGAGCCAACTTTGCTTGTGAAAACATTTGTTTTGATCATCAATCAAAATCACTGTGAAACTTTCGATGTCTGGTATCAAATCTATTTTCGGGTATATCATCGATTGTGCTCAAAAGTTGCTGATGGAAGTATTCCTCATTTCTTCACTCGTTTCTCCCATGAGCGCATAGACTTTGACAACCGGGATGCGGGTGTGCTGTGTCATAAATCGCACTGATTCCTTTTGGAATACTTTTGCTCATTGGTCTCCATCAATGAAGCCTTCGAAGCTCCCCTACTCAAGGGGAACCCTATTTCTTTTTCGTGTCTCTCTCCCAACCAGTGGACAATATGTGTTTTCATTGCTTCTCATACAGCCTTTCCAGGTCCACCAAACATCGCTGGTCCTGAGTATATCCAAGAGGAGATTGTAGAATTCTCGTTATAATTGGGCAAGTTCCCCTGACTAATGTAATGGGAGCTTATTTTAGGGAAATTCTTGTTCTTTGGGATAGGAGCCCAAGTCCCTATTCGGAGGTTAGCCTTATATTTACTCATCTTGCTTTGACATGAAGAATTTGCATAGTGGGAGCGTTGCTAGCACTTTACACCAACCCTCCTTTTTTCCTAGGGGTATGAGACTAGCAACGATTGTCCTTGACGATAATGCCTTGAGAAGACAGGTGAATCATTCACTGGGAATTTACTGACTTTGAGAAAACCTCTATTGAAATGGTCACTGTAATCTGATAAAGGCGACGATCTGATTCTCCTACAGTTGCAGAACACAGTTGCTATGCAACAACCCACCGAATTCTTTTATTCGGTGCGATTACCTTCTTGTTGTAAATACAGAGCGTCAGCAGTAGCATCGTTGCTATTAACGCGCTTTCTTTCAAGATCTCTTGATTTCCGAGTTTTTTGTTTATTATTCTGTATAGCTTCTTGGTGTACGAAGCTATATAACATTCCATAATAAAAAGAAAACTGATCCTGGAAACTGTTGGTATCCATGGTACGCTACTTAAATGGCTGCGGAATTTTCTCACTAGTCGAACCAATCGAATCGAATCGTGTGAAGGACTCATTTTCTGCAAGCATGAATGCCACTAGTGGAGTCCCACAAGGTGGTGTCCTGTCTCCCTTGTGGTTCAACATATACACCTTTGAACTCAGCTCTCTAATTGCTTCGGTAGGTGTGGACTGTAAGATTTTTGCTGATGACCCAAAAGTTTACAAGGTCATTGACTCGGTTGATGATCAAACCCAGTTGCAAAATGCTATTAATATTGTCAGCAAATGGTCTAAAACATGGGGTCTTCCTCTTTCAGTGGATAAAACCAAGGTTCTTATTCTATCCCAATCTCCCGGTTGGTGCAGCTCATACCATATAGACGGCAAGGCCCTACACTTTGTTGATAAAACTACAGATTTGGGTTTCATTATTTGTCGTAACCTTAGTTTCGACCAACATGCGAACATGATTGTCAGCAAGGCTACCCACAAGGTTTACAACTTTTTTAAGGCTTTTGCCTGCAAAGACTTTGGGATTCTCCTAAGTGCATTCAAAACGTACATTCGCCCGTTGCTCGAGTATGGGTCTGCTATATACTGCCCACACAAAATTTCCTTAATCAAAGCTCTTGAAAAAGTACAAAATAACTTCACCAGAAAGTTAATGGTTAGAATCCAGGGATATGACTATGCGAGAATACCTAACAGCGCGATGAGAAATAAGATTCTCGGCCTCCAGACGCCCGAGAAACGAAGGAAAAAACAGAGCTTGATCTTACTATACAAAATTATTATTGGCAAGATTTCAGTTGATAACGCAAACTCTTTTCCTCAGGCGACTCTCGTGGTCGTGGCTGAAGTATCAAGGTCTTTATTCCTCGACCAAAATCTAGTTATAGAAACCATTTCTTTTGTCACCGTGCTGGTATGGAGTTTAATAAAATTGTGAGGCAGCATGAGGCACCTAAATCATACGCTCACTACAAAAGACTGGCGACCCAATACTTATCATAATTTTTGCTTATCTGTTGTAGTGCTAGTGTTTTTTTTGTATTTTTTCCAATTTTTTTTCTTCTGCCTTCTCTTTCAATTTGTATTTCTTTGTTTTTGTCCTACACTTTACTATTTTATTACATCACCTTGTGTTTTAATGCCACTTGCGTTTAATTCTTCGGTGTTTAGTTTGTTTGCTGTTGAGTTCACACGAGGCAACTCGTGTAATAAATCAAATCAAATCAAATCAAATCAAATCCAGTTATAAAAGAGCGGAAGACATATCTAACAAAATTACAATACGGTCGATGTTGTAATTTGATACCTACCACCTATATTGTTGTGCTCAGGCTTGAGCTCTGTGATTGCCTGGCTAGTTGTTGAAATTCAACATTTCTGAACGTGCTCCGTCAGACCATAAAGATGTATTGATTTTAAACTGATTATTTGGTAGAAATGATACGCACCTGGAATCGTTCAATAAAGTGGCCTCCAATATCAAGAAATCCCCAATCTGGGATCGGCACACTGATATCGCCACCGGTATGCTGAAATGTCCCATAAAATTTACATCGGAGAGCAGAAAAAGATCTGCACCATTCATTGAAAAATCAATGAGGATATGAACTTTGACGTGTTATTTATTCTACTGAATGAATGTTTATAAGAGGGCTTTCCCGGATCAAATACTTGCCACACGTTAAAGCTCGGTGTCAAAGGGAACAACTAATCACAGGTGGTCAAAAGCACGTGATTATACGAAAAAACCTGCAGGTATAGGACTTTGGTTATAATTTATATAGGGCTACTCCGGTATAAAATTTGTTAAAATTTGTTACATCTATAGGTTGCATCCTTCAATGAATGCCTAACCTTCGGAAGCGCTATTTAGAGCGCTTTCAAGGATATCTGGAGCGGCCTTTGAGAACGCTTCCAATTATTTGGGACAGTGTTGAACTATTATATTATAAATATTTTGACTCTTAGAAATCGACTAAATGCTCGAGGAGGGAGTCTGAGAAAACAAAAATTCTCATTCTAAAACGAAGAAGTAACTCAATTTCAGCAGTGAACGTAATTTGAAGGGAGCAGCTCAATGGTTTCTAACAGTCCCAAAATCGAAGTCCATGCTTCAGAATAAAGCAGCACGTGGGGACGTCACCTCTATAACAACGCAGCATTAAGTTAGGGAGTCGCCTCAGACGGTTAGACGACTAAGAAGCGATCAGAGAAGGGTCATAGAAGACGATCAAGTACATAGATTCCGAGTCATAAGCCAAACCATCATTCCGGTACTAAAGACCTCGGAATTCTGCAAACGTATGAAGTAAGCATTTATCATAGAACAAAAAGAACTCACTCGGCCTTTAGAAGTGTCGAAAGTGACAGCTGCCATGTACTGGTTCATCAAAGGGTAAAGTGGCCAATAGTCCACATTCGAACTCCTACCAGGCAGGGGAACGTAATCACCTAAAATTGTATGTTTATTTTTTTTTCTCAAAATACGTTGAAGATCCAAGCTCAGTAGAGACAGTCGCTGAACAATTTTCGGGTAGAACTTAGCTGCCTCTAAACATTCTGCACACTCTAACTAGTTATTTATTTTAGAGAGCATTATGACTTATGCATGTAGAGCTGTTCTCTCAATTTGCCTTGCAGAACATCGCTGCGGCTATGAAGCTAAATATTATAGAAAAGGTTCATAAGGCAGTCCTCGTAATGGTACGAAATGGCTTCTGATCGCGGATCACTTTGCTCAGACTCTTTAGTTCAATCGGGAGTACATCAAAAAATGTATTCAGTTACCTGCGGCAATATCATGGACACACTAAATGTAGTTGCTTTTTGCTTAATTATTATATCATTTTATTATATAATTATTATTACTATTATTATAATTATAATTATAATTATAATAATAATAATAATAATAATNNNNATTATTATTATTATTATTATTATCATAAATATTATTATTATTTCTGTCCTTTCCAAATATATCTGTGCTGCCAAGTGTAATATAGTATACATACCCCGTTACAATGCGCTCACCACTGAATAGCTCGACACATTTATTTGTTCTGTGATCCAATCGTTTACAAAATCGGAACTTGCTTCACTTATTCGCTTTTTTCGCCTACACATACAACAAAAACAAATTGATTTTTCAGTAATTGAAAGGTAGAAATTGAGTTGATCCTCTCAAACTAACCAGGCAGCTTGAATGATTTAGGTACAACTTTGGGGGAATGTCCGATATGTTTTTGATGTTCGGCTCGGCGAATTCTGTCATCTTCCTGAAAGATGCTTCTTCAGCTCAGCATTTCGGGACTTCGTCGCTAATGTCAATTAGTGTGTTGGATTTCTTATTCAAGAAATGCGATATTTTGTTGGGAGTAAATAAGAGACATTTTAATTGGGTAGCCCTAATCCGACTTTATTCGTGGTTGTCTTCATAGGGATTTCTAGCAATCTTCTTCAGTTTTCTTCGAGTGATTGAGCAATTTTCGAAAACAAGAAAGAACGAGGAAGATGATGAGCAAAAAAACACGGGGTGCTATGAGGTTAGCATAATGACGGATATGGTATCTGGTCCATCTTCAGACAAATGGAAAATATGTGATGCATTTTAATCGCGTTTAAAAACCGTGTTTATACTGAATGAAAGAAGGGCACGGTCAAGTTTACATCGAAACCTTAACATATGATCACAGAAACAGTAAAAACAGAAGATTAATAATGGAAAAATTTTCATATCAAAAATAAGTGAACTATATTTGTACTGAATAAGGTATGACTCCGTGATTAACAGGTCATTCAAATTCTTTCATCTTTCTTACGAGATATCTCTTATGGTGGTTAAGAAGTAGTTCAATAGTCCGTTTGAAAGGTGGTTAAACATGAAATTAATTGCGAAAACTTTTTCGAGATTCTCACCTGTCACACAGTAGAACAGAATACGATATACATATATCCATCTAATAAGAAGAACTCACTCTCATTGCCTCCCCTAAAAATTCCAGGTATCCGTCATTATCGTCCTCTGTAGTGTCAGTATTCACAGCGATAATTGGAATAAATTTCAGGATAAGTATAACGCTTACGATGTGATATTTCATGATTAGCCGACGTAGCAATGTTCGATATCGAGGTCAGGGAAAATCCGTCATTCGAACCGTCATCATTTCGGCGAAACTACGTCTATAAAGCAATTGTACAAAAAAGTGGCAAACAAAATAAAATGATAATGGGATGGAAAACTGTTAAGGAATTGGTCTGATGTCTCACGCCTCCTCAACAAAACATTCGGTCCTGTTCTACCATTACTCCCGCAAAAACTCAAAATTGTAATTTTCAATGAAACCTCGCCTATAGGGGTAATCCGATGCCCTGATAACGAATATGACCTTCACTTTTAGCGCTGACGCCTTTTGGCGCCAATTGGCGCTAATTTGGCGCCAAGGGAGTTTTCACCAAATTTGCTAAAAACTTGCGCTTAGGGGTTATTTGAGGTCCAGACAACGAATATAACATCCATTTCTGTGTCCTCAAACAACGAATAAAACTTTTATTGAGCCACGCCATATGGCTCGTGGTGGAGAGAAGGGTGGTGGCTTCTGAGACTGAGCTTTGGAAAAGTAACGAGTCTCAAGGAGTGCTCTGCCTTTCCATCCCCCCCCCCTCTTGAAGGCTTAATATCGGAAATGTGGCCCTAAAGAGGGTCGTTGGGTAAGTGTACGTGAGATGCCAGACCGTTCAGCAGGATATAGTGCTGCAACTTGATCCCAGAAATTGAAGACGACCTCCCGTCGACCTCCGCTTTCCTTTTCCCATAGGAACTCGCACAAGTAGTCCTCGTAGCGTGAGTTATTAATTCCAAAGCGCCGCTTGCACATCGCTTTGTATTTCTACCACAGCGACTCTACGTTTTGAGTATGGGTACCAGTTTGTGGGTCTACAAAATTCAACTGTTGATTGACCTGGGGGTGCCGGTAAGCATTGAGCAGTGCGGCGATCTGACTGTATGCCCTCCAGCAGTCACTAATGATCGTCGTACTAGGTTTTATATACTTTCCGATAAGACGAAGCAGAGCGCCCCTCCTTCACACCAGCCTCAGAAATGCTCGTCCGCTCCCTCTCTCGATACCGCCAAAAAACCACTGGTGTCTGCGTACACATCGACCACGATTCTAGCCACCAGCGTTTCGTCAATCTCCACCGTACATCCGAACCCACCAATAACTGGAGGCTTCCTTCTGTAGTACTCGGCGCAGACGTCGCGAAAGTACTGCTCCCACTGGACAACACTACAGTGACCAATGTTAAGTTCGTAAACCTTGTTCTTCACGGTACCCATGTCGCGAAGCCAAAAGTAGTTGCGCGCAAACACGGCCGACTCTGCGAGGTTCGACTTCTCAAAGAAAGAACCTTCTCGAGTTGGAACATACACCTTCGTTTCGTTCGATGGCCCAGTTTGGCATGATCGACGGTAACACACCCATCCGTTGTGGTGCTCATCATTTCTGGAGCTCATAGATCCTTGACAAAGAGGGCACAATGGCAAGCCAGCAGCCCGCTGTATCTCAGCCACTCCTGTAAATCCAGATGATCTATTTGCATCTTCTCGTACACGTCCTTCAACGAGAAATCGAGGAGTTCTTGCTGACGATTGCGCCTTCTCAGAGCGTTGAGAGCCATCGCAACACACGTTCACAAGTTGTGAAATGAAATGGTGATGCTCGTCTCGTCAGGGGTTTACCTTCAGCCGTGGGAAAGTGCCTACGTCATCCCATTTCCCACAACCTGGCTGTCTTCAAGTATGGGAAGCCGCCTCGGGTCACATCGTCTCTCCCACAACCTGTATGCCTTGTCGTCGCGCCAAATAGCCTCAGCGCGTACAATGGATGTTATATTCGTTATCAGGACCTCAAATAACCCCTAAACGCAAGTTTTTAGCAAATTTGGTGAAAACTCCCTTGGCGCTAAATTGGCGAAATGGCGCCAGCACCAAAAATGAAGGTCATATTAGTTATCAGGGCATCGGGTTACCCCTACAGGCGAAGATTCATCGAAAATTAAAATTTTGAGTTTTTGGGGGTGTAGTAGAGTAGAATAGTACCAAATATTCTTCAAAACCGACTCGAACAATTCTTTTGGCATATTCAGAATACCGAGTGGCCGGCTCTTATTTGCAAGCGATATTACGAGGTATGTATTCACGTAAAAACTAGTAATTCAGCGGCCATACTTCGATATTCTTATTTGGTTTGGTTTAATTTATGTGCTTCAACTATGATTTTGTAGTCTAACACTTATATGGGGTCACACTTGTTGGGAACGTAATTAGCTTCCGCTTCTACGCATGAAAATTCGTAGTTCAAGGTGGTGGAGCGGTTTCTAGCAACTATAATTTTTTTACCAAACTTCTACGTTCATCTTGCGACTACTTTTCCACATCATGGCCCTGAAACCAATCCCAATCATATATTTCTGTTTGAGGATATGAAGCGCAAGAATGTCACCTTACTGGAACCGTTGTGGTTTTGACCTCTTGCTGACGATTACGCTGTCCCTCAGCTTTCTATTATAGCACTTATCATACCAAAAAAATAAAGATCTTTTGTAACTTGAGTAAGTCAAAAAAGAAAAGAAGCGGTATGGTATTTATTGTAAATATTCTGACGTTTCGGGGGAATTGCCTTCTTCAGAGCCTGAAAGGGTCATAACAATCTGTGACTATCCGATCAAACGTCTCCACCAACCCATTGAGTTCGAGACCCCCAGGACAAGCAGGCGGTCGGAAGGAGAACCACCCACCGTAACTTTGTGGATTCTCCGAAACCACCCAACAAGTGATGGTAGTAACTGACCAATGCCAGCTGGGGTACGTCTTCATTAATGGAAAGTGAGGGCGGCAAATATGAATCGCAAGCGCCCTAGGAGGGGATAAGTCGCGTTTCCTTGACTCTCTTTCTAAATGCAATGGTCAAATGCAGTAGTCTTCGAGCATTGACAATTGGAGGGGGGGGGGAATAGTATAAAAACAATCATGCCTCCAACTATTCACATCGGTTACGGTGTTATCGAGCTGTACGGTGCCTTGGGAGTCATGTATAGAGCAAGTATTAGGATGGAAAGTCGTCTTTCGTCTCGATCTCAAGGAGACTAATCCTGGGTCTCTGACATATCGTCCAACTCCGGAAATGAAGATATTGGCAATGAGCTTATAATGGGAGCAGTCAAGATTCGTTCATAATCAACCAACCTACATAATTGTGTTTACTACATGTCACCATGAATCTCTACGTAGACTTCTTTTTCCGAAACATCGAAACGTTTCATGAGAAACAATGACAGATTGCTAATGGCTGCCGTAAGCCTTATTTTTGTAGGGAACGGTTTTGCCACGTTGGTTTTTATTTGGCGCAGTAACACGTGAGTCATAATGTGTGAGTACCTGCTACATTCAACAACTAATGGACCATCTTCCTTCTCTCAAGTGCAATTCGGATCAGCCTTGAGCCTTTATGCTTCTCTTTCAAACAACTTCCCCCGTTCAGATGTTCAAAACGAATCAGCTGTATTGACACATTTATTTCCTTACAACTTATGCTCGTATGATGACCAAATGCGTTGAATTGTGGAGCAGTTTCAAGAGTCTCTCCCCTACTTAAATTCCGCCGAAGAGGACTCTCGGATAATCCCCGAAAGACTGTTTCCCCGTTGTAGAATATTCGGTGAAGGCACGACTCGTTTTCTCTGAGGTAAACGGGTGTGGTGCGATTCACGCGTCAATATAATGAGGTCGTTCGACAAAACGCGCTAAAACATCATGCCTACCATCATAACGGAAGAAATAAGAACCTATAAGTAGATTAAGTAAAGAAATGACCAATTGGACACGTTTACAGAAGGATTGCATCTTCTAGGATCAAAGAACTTGGAGTCATTCTTATTTTGGACGTTTGACAAGTAAGTTGTTGACCTATGAGGTGAATTCTTAATCTCGAAGAGGCTCCATTGCCACAGTAAGAGATTTGCTCTAATTCATGGTGAAGTCGTGGTCTACTGCAAATTTATTTGGTCGATCTCAACAGAAAGGTACGGAAACGATGCTGCCTGCGCGAAGAGCTCTAATGGGGTCACGCGTGAATCGCGTGCNAACAACCATTGCTTCAAGCAGAAGTGTACTCAAAAAGCGTACTCGTAGGCTAGACCGTACTCCGACTTCCTTATACACCCCATAAGCGACTAATTGTGCACAGGGTATGACCTTGGAAACTCGAAATAGTGATTAAATACGTAAAAAATTCAGCCACAATAAAATGAGCACTCGAGAAAGAGTTTACTTTCGAAAATTGATATGCCTGCCAAGTTACGAATCACAGTAATAACAGGTTTTTGCACAGATATCTTTCGCGATTTCGCGCTGTCCTCGCTCGTAAATATCATAACAAGTCTTGGCGTCTGCCTTATTGAAACATGACTGAAATTGATTATATATCAAGGAATGAAATCCTTTCGAGTTTCTTCCTCTTATATAGGCTATCGTCTCTGTCTATAATGTATAGTCATATCAAATGCAAGCTCAAGCTAGTTATGCTGGTATCCATTGGCGAAGTAGTGTACCTCCTTAGGCTTAGGTTTCATCGGTGTGCAATTTCCGCAGGTTTTCGAACAGAATTTTTCCGTAAATACGACTTTGCTGCCTAGATGGCACCCTCCTTTTTTTTAAACATGAGGCAGAATTTTTCTTCAAAGAAGTCTTCACATAACTGAAATCGGCATCACATTATTAGAAAATTGAATTCCTTCAAACTCTATGCATTTCCGTTTAAGAAATTGGGATGTGCTGCTACAATTCCACGGAAATTTCTCGGTTCCATGGTGTACGTGCATGGATTTGTCATTGTTGGAAAAAAAACCGTGCGAAGACTTACCCTGCTTGTCTCATCCTTTTATACTGAGCTATCTTCAATCCACCTGCCATTGGGATCGTAGTTGAGGTGTTTTGAATGCAAAAGCACGATGTTCTTGTGCAAATATCAGAGAAGCATTGTCGTGGGCACCACCTCCACTATACGTAGGTTGCCTTTTACATTTGGGGATTAGAGAACAAAAATGAATATTAATCGCTAATATTAATCGAAAATCGCTTGACTGTTTTTCAAAATATTCCCCATTAAGATCTGTACACTTTTGCATACGTTTGAACTAATTGTCGGAGCACTTTTGCCGCTCTGATTGAGGTATCTTCAGAACATGCATTCTAAACGAATCAACCTCTCTTCAAGTGTCGGAAAACGTTGACCAGTCATTTTATTTTTTAAGCACGGGAATGAAAAGAAGCCGTTCGGGGACTCGACGGCGGATGACTCATCAAATCAATGTTTTGAGTGCTCAAAAATGCAGTTGTTTGAGCCGATGTGCTGCAGCTCATTTTGTCGTGGTGAAGAGTGATCCGTTTTCGTCAGTTGGTTTTCCTTATTTTTTGGAAGAAAACTGGCAAACAAATGGTTATATACCACTCAGAATTGACTGTTCTGCTTGTTCTAGTGATACGGTTGCGACATGTCCAGTTTTTCCAAAAAAACAGGCGACCATTTGCTTGAAAATGCTTCGTGCGCTTACAGCTTTTGTTTGATTTGGCTCGTTTTGAAATACCCATACGGTCGACTGCTATTTAATTTCGGGCTCATACGCGTAAATCCATGATCCATCACCTGTCGTAATGTCACAGACGTTTTTCGAAGCACTGAGATCGTATTTTTTGAGCATTTCTTTCGAGCAAACAACATGAGTTTTTTTGGGCGATTGTGGGATTCATCGTGAACAAATTTTTTTGACAGTCAATTGTCGAGCAATACTGAGTGTATGCTGGTCCCACTAATACTGGTCTCGAAATAAAACTCGTCAAGTAAATATAATAATTACAGGCAAAAGAAATCGAGTTTCAATCAAAGAAATGAGTTCTTTTCCGAAATAAAAACTTCCAACACCAATCCCAACGGTTTTGAGGGTTTTGTTTCACGCATAATAAATAAATACAGTATTGTAGGCGATAGACTCTTGAATACAATTGATTTGATCTTGTTGTTTTTGACCATCGCGCGAGAAATAGGTATGCATAAGCCGTCGTCACTATCACTAGGCAATCCCTTCGTTGTGCTGCGGCGCTACGCCGTCCTTTTCAAATTTGATTTGCATATTTTTATTTGTGTCGTTCGCTCGTTCGCGATAAAGAGTTTTTTATGTTATTGCTGACTGCTGTTTGATTATCGGAAATAGTTACTTAACATTACTTGCATCATTTCGTTAATTGGGGTCAAGCCGACTCAAACGAGACTTCCAGTTTTATTATAAAGGCCCTCATACTGTACGAGACGGTTGAAAGCAGGTGAATCCAACCATAGGAAAAGCTAACTCAGTTACATAGTGTAGCTGTGGAATAAAACTTGTGACACGGGATCAATAGAAAACAGTCCAACTATCCGTGAGTGGTTGTCGGAACGGTGCGATTTAACTGAGTAGTACTCCAATACAAGTTGTTGGAGTAATACTCAGTTGAATCGCACTTGTTGGTATTTGTTGATCAAGAAAGCACTTTGCAATTCCAACCTAGTGGTTGTTATAGCGTTGTGGTTACAACGTCCCGATTCTGATTTATTCGTGGAATCCGCGAGAATACTAGCGTCTTGTTGACAGTGAATAAACGAGGTACAACTTTTTAGTTCATAGATATGCATTCTCCAGTTAGTTCGGAGAGATCACCGCATACGTCGGTGAGAAATACAGAAGCCCCGGATGACATGGAAATGGAGGAAGCCGGATCAGGTTCCGGGGTGAGTCCTTACAATAAGCTGAGCCGTAAGGTCGTGGCGCTACTACCCGCAATAGCGATCAAGTGCGACAACGAGTTGTCCAAGACCATGCGGACTGACGACCCAAAAGGGAATCTATAATGGCAGTTGATTCGAAACAAAGCGCCTTAGTGAAAGAGGAAGTGCGCATTACATTGAGAAAAATTTGGGATAAGTGCTGCTCAAAGTCAAACGACGGAGTGATAGAACTTTTAGAATCCGCAGGAACTTGCGATGCGAGGCGCCTCAAAAATCGTTTCACAGAATGTGAAGAGATGAAGTCGGCATTGGACAAATTGTCGCAAAAGTTAGAGTGCCCAGTTAGAGTGCCAGTGCAAAAGCCGTAAAGTTGACGAAGCGCTTATGACTACGGCCAGCCTCAGGAAAAAGATTTCGAAATGAAGGAAGAGCTAGATAGAGAAAGATTGCAGGTCAAGGAGCTGCGTCAACGAATGGAAAAATGGAGAGATCAAGCCGTAAACCCAGGCGATCACCAAGATGATATTGGTAGTAATTCCAATAGTCACATGGTACAGATATGTCAGACTGTCTATTACAGGATTCGCAGCAGTCGACCTCGATGTCTGAGGTGCAACCTTTTGGAGGGAAGCCTCATGAGTGTTTCAAAAGATTTTTGTTATTCGAAATGAAGTATCCAAAAAATAAGTGGACAGACTCAAGCCGAATACAACAAATGAACAGTTTTCTGCGCAAAATCGCGCTAACGGTTTTCGAAACTCTGCCCCTCGAGATTCGAGAAGGGTCGTTTGATGGTGTTATGGAGGCGATGGAAAGACGCATGGCTATTCACTAAAATAGAGAAAAAATTAAGGCATTGTCTGACCTAAGGAAATTGACTATAAGGGAAGACCAGTCAGTAGCCGAATTCTGTTGGGTACTGGAGCGAATTACGAGCAAAGCATTCCCAGATGTGTCACCAGAAGTGACTGCGCTGCAGAAATCCTGGGCAGACAATTAGCCAGCTTTAGTAGCAGCTACTGCTTAACAGAAGCGCTCGAGACTAGCACAAACGCGGAAGTCTACGAAAAGGTGACAGAAACGGCACTGCGCTCAGGGAGAAACGCCAGAATTGAAGAATGCAGGAAGACAGGCAGAAGTGAGCTTGTACAGCAGTTGAAACCAAGGTGGTAGAAGCGAAGTGCTCAGAACTCCCCCAGTGATGGAGGAGGAGAATCACCAAAAAATGATGTGAAATCATTGGGATCAGTAGCACCAAAAACAAGAACGCACAGCAAAAATGGTGCAAGAAGAGTCGCGCCAATGCTTTGCTTTTGGGAAGCCAGGCCGCGTGGCCAGAGATTGTCGGGCCCCACAGTCGCAAGCGAAAGCAGTGACGGCAGTAGCAGGACCGAAGAAGCCGCCCGGATCTTATGCTGCACTGGTAGAAAAATTGGGGTGTAAAACGGAAGCAAAGACCGACGACAAAGAGTTTGGCGATTTCTCCGGTAAAAAGACAGCGGTGGTCATTGTTAGTTTTGGAATCTAGGCACAAGCATTACTAGATACAGGGTCGCAGGTGACCGTGATTCCGGTAAAGTTGCTCAAAGGGGCAATAGACTCTGGAATAAAATTAGATCATCACGCTGAACGACTACCCCTGCTCGAGTCCGGATAAGAGATGCCTCAGAAAATTTGTTGACATTCCTGGATACCATTAGACTATGCGTTCAATTTGAGGAAGTTGAAAAATCAATACTAGCATTTGTTGGAAAAGGCATTGGCGAAATGGTGATGTTAGGAAAGAACGCGCCATAGCGTTTTGATATAAAACTATACAAGGCCTCAACAGGAGAAGCTCTCAACAGTCGCGCACTCTCGAGGCTGATAATGGGAAGCTCGAAGTACCAGCCGAGACACTACAGAGGACTTTTATACCTCCGGGAGCAACAGAACTTGTATCGTTGACCTGTGCCAATGAAGGTAGCCTGGACACAACAGTCTTCTCCTCACAACACCCCCTCATAATGTACGGCCTCTGTAACACCATAGATAAGGAAGCAGTCATACCAGTGACCAATAACACAACGGAAGCCCTAGTACTTCAAGGAAGGAGAAGCAGTTGGGGAGTGGAGAAAGGAATAGACAGAGTTATGCTGGACGTGAGTGAAACTAAAAAGTGGACCTCTTACGAGGAAAGCCTGAAACGACTTTTGGAAATAATAAAGCAGAGATCGCAACTGACAGATAAAGCTGGTGATGTCCAAATTCAATGATGCGTTTGCCGTGACAGATGCAGAGTTGACACAAACCGATTTAGTGGTCCATGACATCGACACAGGGGATCACAGGCCTATAAAACAAAAAACGAGATTAGTAACATTTGCTACACGGAAGAACTTAAAAAGTTCAATTAAAGACCTCCTCAATAGAGGCATAATAGAACAAAGCTCTTCCGAATGGACTTCACCAGTGGTGCTAGTTGAAAAGAAAGACGGTTCATTTAGAATTTGCATTGATTACAGGGAACTGAACAAGATAATTCGACAAGATTCCTATCCACTACCAAAAGTTGACACAGTTTGCAGTGCCTAGGGGAAAGAAAGTATTCTCGACTGTGGGCTTAGCCTCGGGATATTGGTAAATACCTATCCGAAGAGGCAAAAAAAGTGTGCCATACGACAAGTGAAGGACTATATCAATTTACGGTGCTGCCCGTTGGCCTATGAACTAGTCCAGCAGTCTTCCAGCGCATGATGGGCATGGTTCTTGAGGAACTGCGCATGGACGACGAAGTCTTTGTTTACATAGACGATATCCTTGTAGCTACCGATACTGTGGAGCGTCATTAGTTGGTGCTGGAAAGGTTTAGGGGCGCCTCGGAAAGCCAAGCTGCGCACGAAGCCGCAGAAATGTGAATTTTTCCAGGAAAAAGTTGTTTTCCTTAGCCATCTCATAGCCAAAGACGGGATCAAAGCAGATATGGATAAGGTGAAGAAGATTGCTCAATACCCAGCACCAAGAAACTTTGCAGTATTGAGGACGTTCCTCGGTGTGGCGTTCTATTACAGGAAGTTCGTTGCAGGTTTTTACAAAACTGCAAGAAGTTTATATGCTCTGACGAGTCCTAAAACAAAATGGAAGTGTACCAATGAGGAAACAACGAGTTTGAAAGCCCTGATAAGAGCTATGACATTCGCGCCAGTGTTAGCACAGCCAAACGTGGCTGCAGCTGAAAACGGAACAAGACCGTTCATCATGTATACCGACGCTTCTAAAGGAGTGGGTGCCGTACTCTGCAAGATGGGAGATGTTTGGCTTCTGCACCCCATCCTCATCGCTTCAAAACCCCTTACTAAAGCCGAACAGAATTACCGCATCACGGACTTGGAAGCTCTAGCGGTTGTATTTGCCTTGAGGGAATTCCATTTCTCTGCCCATGAATTGGATGTAGTGATCAAGGTGTATTGCGGCAAGCTCAGTATATGACGAAAAAATGGACGTGTACCGTAATCCTAGCGTAGTCATCTGCGAGTTGGCAGCAGGAAATAACGAATGGCCAAATAATCTCAAAGAAGACAATGATTATAAGGAGATTCTGAAGGAGACTGAACACGAAAATGACCACGTAGACGTAAAACTGCCGAGATGCTCGCGTAAGTTTCTCGTGGCTGATTTCTTTATTGACACGGGCGAGCTCAAAATGATACTTGAAAATTGTTCTATAAAAGTGGTACCCAAGTCCAAGAGAAGGGAAGTATTCAATGAAGCACACGGAGGTATCGTAGCAGGACATCTCAACGCGCCTAAGTTATATCGCAGGCTTAAAAAGTGGTATTCTGGGAAGGCATGGAGGTCGACATNGCAAAATGGTCAAAAGAATGCTCAAAATGTTTTTTGTCAAGAGCGCATGGAATGCAGGCACCACCATTAAGGCCTTTCACTACTAATGGCCCGTATGAATTAATTGTAGTAGACTTGGTGGAATATGGCCTGACTGAAAGGGAACAAATTCGCCCTAGTAGTGATAGACCATTTCTCTCAGTTCGTAGGTGCGTATGCTATTGTAGATAAGAAAGCAAGAACAGTACTTCGTGCGCTGTTTGAGTGCTGGATTTGTGAAGGGTGTAGGTGGCCTAAGTGTATTCATTCAGACCAAGGTCCCGAGTTCGTTAACTCCACTCTGTCAGAAGTATGCAAGATAACAGGAATTGAGCAGTCAGTGACGAAAGGTTACAACCCACGAGAACACGAGAAAACGGAATGACGGAGAGGGTGGTTGGCACATTAACAAGAATGCTAAGGAAAAAGACTATCATACCAGCCGATTGGGATCTTCTTCTTCCCATGGTAGTATTCGCTTACAATTCTTCACCTCATACAGGAGCAAGTCCGTTTTACCTATTGCATGCCATGGATCCTCACTATCCTTCTAATGTAATCCCTCAAGACGGTGTAACGTTCAACCACTTCGACGCTGTTGATTATAAGTACGAACTACTGGCAGGGATTCGGGTGGCCCATAAGTGCGCTACAGAACTCAATGGGAAATACAAACAGAAAATGAAAGAGACCTACGACAAGCGTCATAATACATACCCACAGAAACCACCAAGAGTAGAGTTTTCCTTAAAGGCACAGTTCAGGACAATTTTGGGGGTATCCGGTATTTCAGAGATAGTGGTAGGTAAGGCCTACACTAGGACAAAGGTAAAGCATAAAAGGCTAAAAACAGTGAAAAAAAGGAAAACAAACGGCCAAAAAAAAGAGGAAAAAGTGGTTGGACGAGATTCATAATGGAAAACGGTGGTTAAGTGAATTTTCGCGGAAGTACATGAATGCGACGCCATGTGTGCAATGGCACAAAAAACACCCAAACAGCTGATTTAGACTAGATTCTTGAAACTATTTATTCCCCAACCGATATTTCGCCGAACTTTTATGTTTATTCAGTTGTTCTGCTCAGAAAGGTGAGTAAATTCCCTTATATTTATCATTTGACGATTAAATGTACCTAAGTTTCCATATAGTATGTTGTTTTATAAAATGCATGCTAGGATTTCAATTTTTTTTTGATTTGCAACGCATTTTCTTCATTTGGGGTCATTTATGTGTTCTTGTACAATGTCAAGAACACTCTTTGACTTTCATTTGAAGATTTATGCTCAATTGAAGCCTAGCATTATCAT